CTCTGCTCAACTGATTATACCAACGAATGGATGATCCTGTTAAGCTCTCCTAGAAGCAATGGATCAATAGTTGATCATCCCCAACATGATCATTCATTTTTCTACAAAACATAGTGATGTAAAAAGAGGGACATCTCATGCCATCGAATTTTTCAAAATCCCGAACTTTGAATTTGGGAGGTAGCACTAAATCAGGAACTAGACTTAGCTCTTTGGTATCGATGCCATACAAGCTAGTGTATTCTTTCATAGCTCTGATTTCATCTTCCAGTTATTTCCATTTCTCTTCTAGTTGCTTATTGTACTCTTTTCTACCCTTCTTATCGAAATCTAGGACATCTTCAACTAGATCTGGGTTTATGAAGGTGATGGGTAAGTTTATGTGCACTTTTTCTGGTAGAGCAGTCGTTTCTTGTTGTGTTCTAACATGAGATGGCGTAAAGCTAGGAGGATATAGGGGTTCTTCAGTGGTACCAACAATTGGAACCTTTCCACGATTAGGCCCTAGTTCAAAGCCCAGGGGATACACATGTTCTTTGGTATTATCTGCAACAGTTTGAGTCTCTTCACGACTTGTATTCCTTCCTTGTAACATGCTTGCAAGTTTTTCCGTTATTTCATTATGAGATTTCAACATTTGTTCACGTGTCTCCTCTTGAGCTTTCCTGAAACTCTCTTGCATTAAGAGCTGAGTTCTTTCATTTTGTGCGATTATTTCGTCCATTGCCTTTTTTCAGGTATGGTAAAAATGCTTAGAATTTTCTAGTACTCTGCCATGCAACCTTTTTATTAATATTGATATTTTATTAATCAATATGAAAAATATGACTTAATGAATAAAATTTCTCTACTAAATATTATCAATGCAAATGACTAAGTATGAACAATACCTCACCCAAACTTGAGGGATGCATTATCCTCAATGCATGAATAATAAAGTGTAAAGAAGAAATGTAATGCAAGGTACCTTGACTAACATCTACTTTGATGGTGGTGGGGTTGGTTTGCGCAGATTCCTTAGGTGGAGAAGTCCACACATGATTGCTTGTCCTCTTCAGTGATGCTTAATTAGAGGCATTGTAATTCACCGTGGCATTTGTGCAGATGGGTGGACATCATCTGTAATGTCATCGTTTGTGCCAAAACGAATTGAGTCTTCTTTCTAAATAGGTGAAGCTTCAATAGGGGCTTTACCCTTATCCACATGCTTGGGAGCATGTTCTTTTAAAAACTAATATTAAAAGTAAATAAAGAAATAAATCAAAGAAAAACAAACATAGAAACATAAAAAAATAATTTTTCCATGACAAAAAAAATAAAAAGGGTGGAAGAAATGCAAACTCTAAACATCCTGAAATGGATGTTTTGTCCTGTTGGATCAGAGCACCATTATAGACCAAAATGCCCACACATATAACAGTTACACCTTCAAAATATTTTTCCCTGGCAGTTCATGTCTTTCAACTTGACCTTCGGATTCTTCTAGTATAGTGTCGGGGTAAAAAATTCTTGCATCTTCCCCCAAACTTATCTTATTGATTTAGCTGGGTACCACTCCTCATTGTAAAATGATAACTCCGTAAAAAGACTATGTTTTCTTTATTTTTACTTAAGTTATTGCATGTATAAAAGTCGTTGTCATACCATTTTAGTTGCATTTAGTTCATATTTGTATGTGATGGATAAGTTTTGCATAGGCAAGATTTATTTTGGTTAACTACCGAGGAGGAAGGTTCTTTGTTGGATGTGCTGATGCAGGAAATAACGAAGGAAGAATTTATTTTTCGAGACAAAAACTATTTCCCAGGGGTAAAGGAACATAAGAAGAAGACAGTGAGGAACAAATTTATCTTGCTGAAGCAAGATTTTTCTTACAGATCTGACGTGTTTCAACAATTGCTGACGTCATTTTCCCAGCTTCATCCTCACGTGCAATCACACCCTTCAAAAAATTAACCACCTCCAGCCGCATTTTCATTACTAACATGGGCAAGTTAACGAGGGTATTTAGAGAATTTCTAAGGACACAAAACCCTAGAAATTCCCATTATAAATACCCCATTATAGCCACCCATTAAAGAAGAGGAGAAACAAAGAGAGGATTTACCGTAGGGGTTGAGTAAGCAGTTACAATACCTTATTTTCCACCGTTCCCCCACTCGACCGTCCTTGGTGCCTTCCTTAGCCAGACTTTGTTAGAGCAACGATTAGGTCCTCGAGAGAGGCTAGCCACTGGAGCAAGCATGATGGTGGTCAAAATGCCACGACAGAGCTCTGTTTGGGAGTGTTTCTTCCTTTGTTCTTAATTTCTGATTTACTTGAAGGGGCTTGTACTTAAAGTTTAAATTCTTGGATGATATTTGCCACACCGTGAACTGTTTTACTTGGTGTTGGTTATGGTTTTGATAAAACGATGTTTTATTGTTTTATTATGAAGAAGTTTGTTTATGCTTAACATTGTTTTGTTCATCATTTTAATATTTTGCCTTGACGCTGTAAGAGTTTCGAGAGATTGCCTGGTTGCCTAGACAAAACATTAGTTTACTTTTGCAATTTTTCCTTGCCTCGACTACACTTTTCTGCATCACATACTTTACAATAGTTCTTGCTTAGACAATACTTTTCCATTAGTTTATTTCTCTTAGTATTACTTATTTTTGTTTCGACAATAAATTTAGGACTAGTTGGTGATAACTAGTTCTAGCTACAACAAAACATCAATAATTCTCACCAATCCCTGTGGAGAAGATACTCAACTCACTACTATATTACTTGCATCGATTGTGTACACTTGCAAAGATTTGCTTGCCTTAGCATATACATTCACAAGCGATCAAGTTTTTGGCACCATTGCTGGGGAATGGCAACTGACGAAATTTTGATAATTTTTGCCATAGAAAATTTTATATTTCTTGTCATATTTTATTTATTTAGTCTAACTTGTTTATTTTCTTTATTTTCTTTTGAAGGATTTTGTCGTTGCATGACCCAGAGATCTGCTGGTGAACCATTAGAACTATTCGACCCTGAGATCAAACAGTCATTCAGACAAAGGCGACGTAACCAACGAGCTAGATATTATATGAATTGATTGCAGTATCAAGACGAAAACAATATAGGAGATCAGGCAGATCCTAGTGTTGTGGCAAATAAGCTGCAAGACCACGAGAAATACGAGATCACTTGAATTCGATTCTTGATGATCTCAACCCTAGAATTGTGGCACCTGAAATACAGGCAACCTGTTTTGAATTTAAGCCGGTGATGTTCAACATGCTAAACTCCATCGGTCAATTTGGTGGCTCACCTAATAAGGATGCTAGACAGCAGGTCCGCCTTTCTTAAATTATGTGATTCGTTCAGGCAACAAGGAGTGCATGAAGATGTGTTGAAGCTTAAACTTTTCCCAATTCTCTTTGCAACTAAGCAAGAGCTTGGCTTAGTGGAGTCCTTTCTGGATCAATGGAGTCTTGGGTTGACTTATGTAAAAGTTTTCTACTTCGTTACAACCCACCTAACATGCACACCTAGCTCTGCAATGACATTTCAATTTTTCGCCAAGGTGATGAGGAATCTATTTACGAGTGCTGGGACAAATATAAAAGTCTGCTTCGCAAGTGAACTAATCATGGATTCCACGACTGGAATCATGTCGTTATGTTTTATAATGGAGTCAATGCACTCACTTGCATGAAGTTAAACGCGTCGACAAATGGTAGTTTGCTCGATAAATCACCCAAGGAAGCCTTTGATATCCTCGATAGGATAGCCAATAATGACTATTAATTTCCGTCTACAAGACTTGAGACCGCCAGAAGAATATCTAGGGCATATGAACTTGACAGTAAGGATTTAATTTCTTCCCAACTTTATGCTATAACTAACATGCCTAAAAATTTTCAGCGTTCCAACGAGGTGAAAGAAGTCAAGGAAACTAACTCAATTTTCATTTTATGCCGAGGAAACCATCATGAAAGTGAATGTCCAAAAAACCAGGAGTCCATCAATTTCGTGAGTAACTTTAATAGAAGCAACAACAACAACCCCTATTCTAATACATACAATATGGGATGGCGACAACATCTAATTTTTTCGTGGGGAAATCAATATAATAACAAAAATTATGCAAGTAATTTTAATAGGACACAACAAAACATTTCAGAACACTCAAATTCACAACATCAACAGATGCCATGGCAAGGTAATAACAAAAGTAATGTATCTTCTTTAAATTCTAACACTCTTGAAGCTTTATTGCAGGAATTTATGGTCTCAACAAAAGATTTCATGGATTCAACAAAAACCTTGATTCTCGAATACTCATCAATAATCAAGAATTAAAGTAATTTGTTGTAAAGCCAAATAACTCTATTACAAGCCATAGCTCATCGTTGAGGGCATTAGAGAATCAAGTGGGGAAAATTGCCACATTATTACATTCACGCCCATAAGAAATTCTCACTAGCGACACTCAGGTTACTACGTCTCAAGGAAAGGAATAATGTAGTGCGCTCACATTGAGGAGTGGTACTCAGATTAATCTTGAAGATAAGTGTAGGGGAGAGCAACCATAAAATTTTAGCCAAGACACCACGCATGAAGAATTGGAAAATAAATATGAGATTACTGAACACACAAAACTAGCTAAAGAGAAGGAAAGAAATGAGGGTTCGACAAGACAATACACAAATGGTGAAAAATTATTTTCCAAGGAAAAGTTACTTCAGCACCTGCAGCTGATGAAGTTCGACCTCCACCTTTCCCTTAGCGGTTGAAGAAACATAATGACGAGAATCAATTCATAAAGTTTATTGATGTCCTTGATCAGCTGCATATCAATGTTTCGTTACTTGAAGCCATTGAGCAGATGCCTTCCTATGAAAAATTTCTGAAAGACATTGTCACAAAAAAGAGAAAGGTGGAAAGAATAAAAACTATTGCCACGACAACAGAATGTTGTTCAACAAAGAGTAAACTTCCGCTAAAGTAAAAGATCCTGACAATTTTGTTATACCATGTTCCATCGTGATAGATATATTGGAAGAGCTCTTTGTGACTTGGGGTCAAACGTAAATCTGATGCCCAAGTCTATATTTTTGAAACTTGTAATGGGTAATGCTCGACCAACCAATGTGATTCTACAACTAGTTAATCAATCACATGTTTGTCCCGAGGGTAGAATTGAAGATGTAATTGTTAAAGTGATAAGTTTGTCTTCCCAGTTGATTTCCTCATTTTAGACTGTGAAGATGATGAAAATACCCCTATTATCCTTGGACGCCCATTCTTAGCTACATGGCGTATTCTAATAGATTGTGAGAAGGGAGATTTCACAATGAGGGTGGCTGGTTAAAGCGTTACAATCAATGTCTTCAACACTCTTAAATACGTTGATGATTATGAATAATGTCATCACATTGAAGATGTTGATTCATTGGAGGAAGTTGGAACAGAAATTTCTAGTCACGACGAATTTTAACACCTTAACAAGTACAATAAATTTTGCCAAGACAAAATCCTCTAGAAGGAAGACTGTGAAATTGTTGGACAAGATAATGTTTTACATTATAAGGAACACAACATTTGTTGCCACGACAAAATTTTCCAGAACGAAGCAGAAAAAAAATCTTTGCATAGGTGAACGTTTCTCAACAGAAATAGATGAAAGTTACACTGAGAGTAGAACACGTCCAGAATCTGAGAAAAATCATTGGAAGAAGAAAAATCTAGTTTACTTCAAGCTAGACCAGATATGAGATTCGAACCCCTTGATTTCATTGAATTTATTTCCCCAAAACCTTCACTACATCATACACCTACCTTAGAACTTAAATCATTGCCATCACATTTGAAATACACTTATTTAGGTAGTGATAAAACTTTACCGGTTATAATCTCTGCTAATCTAACCCCTAACAAAAGGGCTGTTTGTTGAATGTTTTGTCACATCACAAAAAACCTCTTGGGTGGACCATGATAGATTTAAAGGGAATCATCTCTACAATATGCATGCACAAGATCCAATTAGAAGATAACCATAGCAATTATGTAGAACCACAAAGGAGACTTAACCTAATAATGAAAAAGTGGTGATGAAAGAAATCATAAAATGGTTGGATACTGGAGTGATTTATCCAATATATGATATTTCATGAGCCAATTCAGTGTAATACGTACCAAAGTAGGGTGGCGTGACCGTGGTTAAGAATGAGAATGATGAGCTTTTGACCATAAGAACAATCACGGGTTGGCGGATATGTATGGATTACAGGAAACTAAACACTGCAACAAAGAAAAACCATTTTCCCCTCCCTTTCATTGATCAAATGCTTGATATGTTAGCAGGCAAGACATTTTACTCTTTCCTTGATGGATATTCTGGATACAATCAGATCACCATAGCCCTGGAAGATTAGGAGAAAACCAATTTTACCTACCCGTATGGTACCTATGCCTTTAGAAGAATGCCGTTTGGACTATGTAATGGTCCGACAACCTTTTAGAGGTGTATGATGGCCATTTTCTTAGATATGGTGGAAGACTTCATGGAAATATTTATGGAAATATTTATCAAAAGTGCTAAAGCAATGTGAAGAGTCCAAACTTGTGCTAAACTGGAAAAAATGTCATTTTATGGTGACTGAAGGAATTGTGTTGGGACACAAAATTTCTCACTAAGGCATCGAAGTGGATAAAGAAAAAGTAGATGTAATCGAGAATTTACCTCCACCCACCAATGTAAGGGGCATACCAAGTTTTGTAGGGAATGCATGATTTTACAGGCGGTTTACCAAAGTTTTTTCAAAAATTTAGAAGCCCCTATATTTGCTACTTCAACAAAATCAACCATTCATGTTCAACAAGGAATGTCTCAACCCATTCATTGATCTAAAGGAAAAACTTGCTTCAGTACCAATTGTTGTACCACCTGATTGGGATGCACCTTTTGAGTTGATGTGTGATGCAAGTGACTATGCGGTATAGGCAATGCTAGGGCAAAGAAAAGATTTATCTAGCTAGGGCAGAAAGAAATTCAGACATGATGCACGCCACTATTAATGGGATGAACCATTCATATTCAAGCAATGTGGTGAGCAAATAATCCGCAGGTGTGTCCCTAAAGAAGAACATAAGGAGATCTTATTTCATTTCTATTCATCCCCGCACGGAGGGCACTTTAGTGGGATGAGAACTACAGCAAAGGTCCTTTAATCCGGCTTCTACTGGCCCACTTTATTCAAGGACGCGCATGAATTCTCTAAGTCATGTGATCGATGCCAACACACTAGGAGTATATCGAAGAGAAATGAGATGCCATGGAAAAACATTTTGGAAGTATAGCTCTTTGATGTATGGAAAAACATACTTTTGGCGGTGGACTACGTTTCCAAATGGGTTAAAGCTGTGGCCACACCTTGTAATGATTCAAAGACTGTTTTGAAATTCTTACACAAGAAAATATTCACGCATTTTGGAGTAACACGAGCAATTATTAGTAATGAAGGTACTCATTTCGACAACAAATTTATTGCCAATGCACTGAAAAGATACGTAGTGCGTCACAAGATTGCTATGACGTACCATCCACAGATTAATGGGCAGGTTGAAGTTTCTAATCGCAAGACTAAACAGAATCTAAGAAAGTGGTCAACCCGAAACACAAAGATTGGTCACCAAAAATTGACAAGGCATTATGGGCCTACTGAAAAAACATTCAAAACACTCATTGGAATGTCACCATTCAGTCTAGTATATGGCAAGGCTTTTCATTTGCCTGTGGATTTGGAACACAAAGCATTTTGGGCCATCAAGAAATTCAATATGGACTTGCAACTCGCTGGAGAAAAAAGATTGTTAGAGCTGAAAAAAATGGATGAATTTAGAGCTCAAGCATATGAGAGTGCCCGCCTTTACAGAGAAAAAACGAAAAAGATGGCAAAATAGAAAATTTTGCCAAGGTAATATTTTTATGGACAACAAGTGTTGTTATACAATTCAAGACTCAAACTATTCCCAGGCAAGCTAAAATCTAGATGGTCAGGACCGTTCATCATACACCAAGTCCATAGCAATGGAGCAATAGAGATCACGATGCCTAAGAGTTTGTCCTTCTTTCCTGAAAAATTTGGTTGCCTAGGCAACCAAAATTTGCATTCTGTATATAAATAAACTATGTTATTTTATTCTATGTGAGTTGTTTATTTTTATTTTTGTTTCTTTTTGGTATTTATGATACACGTGACAGAGTAGGGATGAAGCTTATGCATTGGATGGAGAAAAACCCTAATCCAATTAGTTTTGGCAAAACTTTTAAAGAGGGAAAAGTATATTCCCTTTATTTTTTTCATTCTTTAAGTCAAATTAAATATATTATAATTAATACTATATCTTTTCCTTTTCTATTTTTATCGTTTTACCCCCAATAAACTACCCATAACCCACTACTTTTCTTCAAAATCGCTCATCTCTCCTTTCTCTTCACCGTTTCCTTGCTTTCTTTTAACTCATTTCTTCAACCTTTCTTCCCTTTACTTTTGCATCTTTTGCTACCACGATAATCCATGTCACAGTAAACACCATGGCCAAATCTAAGAAAAATCTAGCCATGTCTACCTCATCTACTGTGGCTTCAAGATTTGAGCGTTTCCAAATTGTCGAGGCTGAGGAAAAGTACAAAACCCTACAAAAATGGCAAGTCTATTTGGAGGAAGGCTTTCTATTCATGGAGGCTGGTAAAGAACCCTTCGGACCAGAGGTAGTGGACATGATATGGAAACATAAATGGGAGAAATTTACCCGACGTCTAAAGGCAGTGGCACCGACAATGGTCTGAGAGTTTTAAGCTCATTTAGGAGACCCATTCCATCACATTGTTTATGTAAGAGGGAAATCCATATGATTTTCTCCCTCATCCTTAAACTGCTACTTCAATCTCATCAATATGGAAGATCAACATAAAAAATTCCTTACAGACGCACGTCAAGAAATATATGATGGTGTACTGGAGGACCATTGTTTCGGCTGGGCCAAGTTTGAAGGGAATGTACCAACTCGTAAGCGTGTGGATCGCCAAGCCCTTAAGCCAATTACAAAGCTATGGAATTATTTCTTGAAAGGCAAGCTGATGAATACTTCCCACAACACAACAATATTGGTGAGGCGATTGATTCTGCTGCACTCGATCATTTACGGGCGTGAGATTGATGTTGGAGAGAAAAGTCCCCGATGAGCTGTTCGAGGACTTTATCAAGTCAAAGGAAGGCATCACCAAAAAGAAGATGCCCGAACTTATGAGCTTCAATGACAATGCTCCACATGAGGGCCTGGAGCGAGGAGCAAAATGGGTTGTCACGAAAAGAATGGAAGCTGTAGTCACATCTACTAGAGAGACGCAAGAGTGGTTGGAGCGTTTGGAAAGTCACATGCAGACTTTCTTCAGTTATCGAGGCAAGGGATGCAAAACTAAATGCTTTCTTCAAGGAGTTGCTCCCAATTACCAATGATGACCTTCCACCTTTTTTGAATGATCCTGTAGAAGGCCAGTCTCAAGACACCCCTGCAGAATCCACCTAAACCGAGGAAAGGCCATCACCAGCTAGTGCCCCAAGCATGAGGTGTCTGTTGCGTGTTGTGAGTACTATAAAATTATACACAAATAATGTGCAAGTATACACAATCGCTCAAGTAATAAAGTGATGAGTGAATATCGTATCCACATGGATTGGTTGAAATTACAAAAGTCTAACAAAGCTAAGCACTACTCTATCTAAGTATAGTTAGTGTTGATATGTACAATGTCACGGTAATGGAAAGTGTATGTTGGTGGTTATGGATTGATGGTCTGATGGTGTAGAAAATGGAAATGTAGTGGCAAGAGTAGATTTTTAGTGTTGACAATGATTTAAATGTCAAGGCAATGAAAAATAGTAAAAACAACAAATAAATGATAAGTTGATAATCCTTACATGACAAGCTTCCACTGGAATGAATGGTAGGGATTGAGTTAAGGATGCTATAACTTATCTCTTAGAAAGATTTATTCTATCTAAACTTCACTTTCTCGATCTATCTCTTGTCAAAGGAAACTAACAAAATAGAATACAACGACATCTCCTCTTAGTCTCAGCAATAGCAACATACACTATTGATAAAAACTACCCTTTTTAGTCGTTGAAATCCTATCTTAGTCTCTCTCGAGTACTCGGCTGGTTCAAAGCTTATGAAAATACTATTACCTATTGCTTATGAGGATTTGTCTTGTGTTTCTCTCGAATACTATAAGTATTTTTAGCTAGGTTTCTCTCGAACACCTAACCTTCATCTAAGAAATGGACACTATCATGCCTCTTACAAGCTTAAATGATGAAGCATACATAAGCAAAGCAAGAAAATAACAAAATAAACATAAATCCACCATTAAAATAAAGTTAAATCCATCAAAATAACCCCACCAAATAAGGTTAGTTCATGGTGGGGTTCGAATCATCCATAGAACAAGCAATGAAATATTCGTTCCAAACATCCCAATAATAAATAGAAAAATAACAGCAAAGGGAAGGGAGAAGAAGCCTTCGATGCGCGCCACTGGAGCTCTCCTCAACCACCATGAAACGCCTTAGCTCACTAGCTCCTCTCGGATGCCTAGCTCGCCACTCCTTGGAGCTTATCAATGGAGGAACACCACTCAAAGAAGGAGAAAGGGAAATAATGAAAAAGATAAGAAAATATTGCTAAAAAGTTTCCTCCTCTCTATCCATATATCATCTTTCTCTCCCTTATGAGGTGTAATATATATTAAAAATATCTAGGGGTAATGATGAGGTTGTTGGGTTCAAAATACCCCTCATACCCCTAGAGTCACATCTTGTGCGTGAACCTTATCCTCCAGGTGGCAGTGGTCCCCTAGCAGGCGGTTACAACCATCATTCACGTGCAGTACCAACTGTCCTCGTACATAAATATCTTTTTGTCCTTTTATGTGCCAGAAATGCCAAGGCATTTCAATATGCTTCAGCAACGTGTAATTCCACGACATTACTTCCAGTGAGACCTTTTGCTTGTTATTTCCTGTACACCACAACCAATCTGCACCTTTTTCTCATACAACACCCTTAAGAGATAAAATAATAATACCACCACAAATGCAACTATATGTAGCTACATGATCCTAAAATGACTAAAATGAGCTTTTAAACAAACAATAACTTATGTGAAAAAGGCCTTAAAAGTAGCCTTTTTAGGAAGTTATCAGTGTCGTATCAAGCAAACAACTGGTCGTATTGCTAAGCAATATCCCTCTCTGCTTCTTTCAGGAGATAGTGGATTCGAAAGGCCCCTCATCTCAAAATATGCAAAACCCGCACGTCCAGTTAAGCCTCCCCACCCCAATGAGGTAATTTTTTCTTCCATTGCATTTGCATTAGCATTTTAGAGTAATTTTCATTTACATTTGCATTCGTTATCATTCATTGAGGATAATTCATCCCTCTAGGGGAAGGTGTTGTAATTTATACTTAATTTTAGTTTTTGTGATAATAATTGGTTGAAATATTGGTTGTCATGTCATGAATTTTATTAGGATAAGTGTTGGAGAAAATTTATGATGTCCGATGATGAAAGCAAATTTTATTGCATGGGCCAGAATTATTTTACATGACTGTTGAAGGTTAGAACCAACCCTATGACTTGATTCTTTGTGATTCTCTAAAAACATGATTGTATATTTTCTCTGCATAAAGTGTTTAGAAAAATCTTAGGAAATAACTTTTTGTTTGTCATGGCATTATTTGTTTAAAAATCTAAATTGAACTCCTTGCTATTTTGAATTGTGTTGAATAGTAAATAATTGCCTCGACATGACTGTAGAGGGACACTCCTCTGTGGCATGGCATGACCTGGAAAAATCCCTTAAATAAATGGTTGCCTCAGTATATAATTGAATGAAAGCTGTCACAGGATTGACTCTGCTTGACTAGTTTGGGGGTGAAAGGTATGCTCCCTTTTACCTAGAGTGTGAGATGGTAGTTTTGATGAACTGACTCCCCCTGTTTATGCTAAAAAAGGGTTAAAGACATGCTAAATAAATAGGAATGAAAACTAGGCTTGATAAATAAATTGATACCTTGACAAAACAAAAGTGCTTACTAGGAATTTTATAATCACATTACGGCATAAACTATTATACAGTCACACACACACACATACAAAGAAGCTTTACATAAGAAAGGAACTTGACTTCTCGTGAAGTCTACCTTGTTGAGGCTAAACTTTTTGCTGAGGGCTAAAATTTTAAACCACATGAATGTCCTAACTTGTTTGCTTTGCCATGGCAATTTATTTTTCTACTAGATATTATTCATTGCTTGAGGACAAGCAATATCTTAAGTTTGGGGGTGTGATATCTCTGTAAAATGACTATGTTTTCTTCTTTTTACTTAAGTTATTGTGTGTCTAAAAGCCGTTGTCCAAGCATTTTAGTTATATTTAGTTGCATTTAGGTCATATTAGCATGTGGTGGATAAGTTTTGCCTAGGCAAGATTTATTTGGCTTAACTAATACTGATGAGGAGGAAGGTTCTTTATTGGATGTGCTGATGCAGTAAATAACGAAAGAATAATTTATTTGTCGAGACAACAACTATTTCCCAGGGCTAAATGAACATAAGAAGACGACAATGAGGAACAAATTTATCTCATCGAGGCAAGATTTATCTTGCAGATCTGACGTGGGTCAACAATTATTGACGTCATTTGCCCGACTTCATTATCACGTGCAATCACACCCTTCAAGAAATTGACCACCTCCAGCCGCCTTTCCATTAATAACTTTGACAAGTCAATGAGGGTATTTAGAGAATTTACAAGGACACAAAACCCTAGGAATTCCCATTATAAATACCCCATTATAGCCACCCATTAAAGAAGAGGAGAACTAAAGAGAGGATTTACCTTAGCTGTGGAGTAAGCAGTTACAGTACCTTATTTTCCATAGTTCCCCCACTCAACCGTCCTTAGTTCTCTCCATATCCAGACTTCATCGGAGCAGAGGCTAGGTCTTCAAGAGAGGCTAGTCACTGGAGCAGGTGTAGTGGTGGTCAGAATGTCACTGCAGAACTCTATTTGAGAGTGTTTCTTCATTTGTTCTTAATTTGATTTACTTGAAGGGGCTTGTACTTAAGTTTAAATTCTTGGATGATATTTTCCACACCATGAACTGTTTTACTTGGTGTTGGTTATGATTTTGATGAAACATTGTTTAATGCTTTTATTATGAAGAAGTTTGTTTATGCTTAACATTGTTCTGTTCATTATTTTAATATTCTTCATTGACGTTGTAAGAGCTTCGAGAGATTGCCTGGTGCCTAGACAAATCATTCCTAGATTTTGTAAGAGTTTTAGAGAGATTACCATTCTTCTAGGAATAGATGCCTAAATTCGAGAGAATTAGGGAAGATCTACATGAACAACAAGATGGTGAGGTTCTAATCTACCTTAGAGATAAGAAGAAGGTTTTATTCGAGTAAAAGGGGTAGTTACTTGAGTAGGATAGGCAACAGATGCAGTTTACGCTGAGGGGTTTTGCCACAACAATAGTTTGACAAACCAAGGGTTGTAGTTCACGCCGAGTAGTTTTGCTATAGTAATCGTCCTTTAATACTCTAGTAATCCTATCGGGAAACTTAAGTATAACTCACCAATTCATTCTAGACATAGGATAATTTTTCATCTTAGCAAAGCCAACCCAAGTGCTCTATAAAAACGTTTTCATGTGTAAGGTTTCTCTTAATATATTCAACTATACACTTTTATTCATTTTAATATTTGTTGTAATTTTTCATTGCCTCGACTACACTTTTCTGCATCACATACTTTACAATAGTCCTTGGTTAGACAATATTTTCCATTAGTTTATTTCTCTTAGTATTACTTATTTTTGTTTAACAATAAATTTAGGACTAATTGGTGATACCTAGTTATAGCTATAGAAAAACATCAATAATTCCACCAATCTATATGGAGAGGATACTCAACTCACTACTATATTACTTACATCGATTGTGTACACTTGTACATATTTTCTTACCTTAGCATATACATACACAAGCGATCATAAGTGCACTACATTTCTCATTTTCGTGAGGCTTAGTGACCTTAGTATCACTAGGGAGGCTTCTTTGTGGGTGAGCATGTAATGCTGTGACAATTTGGCCCACTTGGTTCTCCTATGCCCTCAAAGATGAGCTATGACTATGTAATAAATTTGTATGACTTTGCAACAGTGTGCCTTAGCTTTTAATTGTTGAAGAGTGTTCATGCAGTAAGGCCTTAGTTGAAGCCGTGAAATCTTTTGTCGAGGCCAAAAATTCTTGCAGTGAAGCTTCGAGGGAGCCAACATTTGAAGAAGATGCTAAACCCTTGTTAATATTTTTCTAGGGCATAAGTTGATGAAGAAAATTTGTAGGTTCAGAAATGTTTTGTTGTGGCATGTTAAGGTTGCCTGCATGGTCGTTGTTGGTCCCTTGATTACCCCACGAAAAATTTAGATGTTGTAGCCATCCCGAATTGTATGTATTAATGTAGGGGTTGTTGTTGCTTCTATTAAAATTGCCCATGAAATTGATAGACTTCTAATTTTTTGGGCATTCACTTTTATGATGGTTGCCGTGGCAAAAAAATGCATGTTGATCTGGTTAACTTGACTTCCTTTACTTCATTGGAACGCTGATAATCATTATTGGATATCCTATCAAGGATATAAAGGCTTCCTCAGGTGATGTGTCAAGCAGAGTACCATTCAATGAGACATCCAACATCATACAAGTGGGTGTGTTGACTCCATTGTAGAACATCACATCTTGAGTCCAGTCGTGGAATCCATGATTGGTGCTCTTGCGAAGCAAACTTTTGTATTAGTCCCAACACTCATACATAGACTCTTCATCGCCTTGGTAAAAAGATACTATGTCATTTCTAAGATGGTTGTTCATATTGGGTGGATTATACCATAGTAAAGTTTTTTTGCAAAAGTCCACCCAGGACCTTATCGAGCCAGAAGGTAGTCCATTATGCCATGCCCTGGCATGATCTTTCAAAGAATATGTAAATAACTCCAATTTCAACACATCTTCATGCACACATTGCTGTTGAAAGAAGTCAAAAATCTCAAAAAAGGTGCTAACATGTTGCCTTGCATACTCATGTCGAACATAACCAAACTGTCCAATCAAGTCCAACATGTCGAACATAACCAGTTTGAGCTCGAAGTGGTCTGCCTGAATCTTGGGAGCTACAATATCAGACTTAAGGTCATCCAAGGTGGGAGCTAAGTGATCTCTAATAGTTTTTGGTCGTGCAGTATTCTTCGCATTTTTATTTGTCGTGGCATTGAATTCTTCAGTTTCTCCACTTCATTTTGAACTTTGTATATAAGTTTTTGAGCTCCTTGAACATATCTTCTTTGACCAAATTTTTTTGGATCTCAGGTTCAAAATGAAATAATGGTTCCTTAGGACTTCTACAAATCATGCAATCGCACAACACTTGAAAATGTCATACAAAAATTACAAATAAATCCATAAAGAAAAAATAATAAAGAAATAAGATAATGCTATAACAAAACTTTTAAAAACAGCAATTGCCAATCCATGGCAATGATGCTAAAAAATAATAAAGAAACAAGATGATCACGTGTATATGTGTGTGTT